TTGTGAACCCCAACTTCTTGCCCGAAGCCCCTGGCCAGACAGCCATCTATTAATAATGGAGAGCACGGCCTGCCTGTCTGAGCAAGGAAGAGTGTACGGTCTGAGTCAGCAGGAGATAACAAACCCACATCTCAAATATCCTGAGTGTCGCCACAGGCTGACTAGGAATACTTTGTATTGTAATGACAAATGAATCTATGAGAGGGTAAAATATAAAAACCTGTTACTCCATGTCATGGCAAATGAGCGTTTCACAGAAACTGTGCACTTGTTGTAATGATTCCCTACAAATATTTTCATTTTTTTCCCCCTTACCCAACATTATTTCTTCAGGATAGTGTATACGGTCCTGAATCAACAAAAGCAACACAATGTGATTAACGCCAACAGCACTTTCTTTGTGAACCAAAATAAGACTGTTTCCCATATAGCTGTAGATATATGTACACGTACCGTTACAACGTACATGCGAGTACATGTAATTAAACATAGTCGACACAGTGAGTCCTTTCTTATGCATATCTCAATGTAAATGCGAATGTGTGACCAAACTTGGCGGTGTGCTGCACATGTATTTTGACAGGTTTTTAGGACTGACGATGCATACTACATGTAATAACCAGTTTTATAAAAAATAAAAACTCCCGTCAAACTTGAAAATCAAAAACCAAATTCTGCTGTTGTTCCTTTGCACATTTACATGCACATGTACCGGTATGTGTACAGGTGATACATGCACATCTCATTTAACATCTGAACCAGGAACAATGTAGGCCTACACTGTACAAACATAATGCATCCTGGCTACATAGGTTATAGATCATAATGGTTTCATGCTCGCAAACTGAACTAAATATTTCAGTATCGACAGAAATTCAAATGATTAACAGTAATGACTTGATCATCATGTTACAATGATGATCTTGGTACCGGTACAGTTGTTTTTATAGTTGAATATTGTTTTACTCTCCCGACCCCCACCCCCCCCAAAAAAGTCCTTGCAGTGGAAACTAGCTCAACAAGATTTTGTGTGCCAAAATCCTTACTGGAAGAGTCCCAGTCATTATCCGTAATGAGGCAAGAAATGACATGTGCCTTGTTTTAAAACAAGCCAATAGCAAATTTTACAATTTAAGACACATGCTACAGTATCATATTTTTTTTAATGATTTGTGTCCATCTGTTTTTAAAAAACAACCAATATTAAGGAAACATTCAACTTTCTCAGTACCATGGATATTGTATCACTCAGCAGAATTCAAATAATGTACTGGTACCAGTTCTACCCCAATCATTTGAATTCACATTTAATTTTTCAGTCTATCACATACTACATGTAACAACCTACACTTAGATTAAAGTGTATACCTGCACTGGTACATGTTATTGTAAGATAAAGATGTACTGTACATGAACTGGTATGAACGTGCTGTAATGAAATGTTATATAACAAATGCTTAGAAATTAATTAGATTTCAAGTACATTTTGTAAGCAAACTACTGTTTCTGATCTTCTTTTTTTTCTACAAGATTACTGTACTGATTGTATTCAAGTTCCGCCATGGTATCGTCATACAACACTCTCCCTCATTTTGGGTCAGCTATTCTAGGCTCATCCCCCGGCTGACAGCTGAGCCTGGGGGGGCTGGGATGCTGGCAGCTACTGGCCCCTTGCTCTCTCAGCTTCTTGTCTCTGGATTCATCACCCCAGCGCCAGGCCTGGATTTACCATCACAAAAAAATAATCTCGGTCCTTTCGTTTTTCTGAGAGAGGCCGCATTGTCGGACAGAGACAGATAAAAAGAATGGCTTTCATCTTCAGCCATGATGGGGCATTTCAATCAACGATAAGAGACTGCTCGTTAATTTGAAGGGGGGGGTATATGTAGATACATGTACATGTATGCATTATTTAACCTACTGGGAAGTTTCCTAGAACCAGTACATGTACATGTACAAGTATACATACATGTACATGTATTATTACCTACTGGTATGTACATGTACTGTGTACAATGTACATGTACAATGCACTTGCCACTGCAACTTCATTCCAGCTTTTCATAAACCGATATCAATTGATGTAAATCGATGAACAATGCAAGATCTACAGGGTAAGTTATGGTGCGTGTACTGTAGACTGCGTGTGTCTGGTGTGACTGTCATTCCGCAAGACTTTTTTTTCAAATACATTACATGATATAAGAAAGGGGGCAGACATACCATACATGTACATTTGTACGTGTATCCGTGTACATGTACGGTAAGCTTGGGACAGCCAAGAGGGAAATGTCTGGATATGTTCTTTTTTATTCTTTCAGTTTTGGAAGTGTCGCAATGAACATGTCTACATTCTCCATGGAATCATGATTTCACAACAGAAATTAATTTTCTGTGGGTTACTTTTATAGCTTGGGGCTTTTTTAAAGACTAACCTGCTGAGAGTGAGCACACAGACCAATGCCCACGGCCTACCTACATGCATACATGACATGATTGGGATACCTGCATGGCTGACAAGTAACCTTTGCTAAGATAAATAAAGCTATATCTAGTTGATCTGACGTTATTAGGTGTACATACATGTTACACATGTACATGTATGTCTCAGTCCCTGACAACAAGGGTGCATTATTTCATGGCTCTGTCAGTCGCCATGCCAGGCAGTGTGTAAGGACTGCACAAACAAAGCACTCCGATTCAAGATTCAAGTACTATTAAAAATCATATCCCTAAATTTACTGCAGTGTGCAGAGGTACATTTAGTCATGTATGGTACATGTATTGTACGTGTATTTACGCATTGGATGTACCGGTACAGTTCTTGTACTTGTACCACAATCTACAGTTACATATATACATGTACATAATATTTCTTGTAATGGTGTTATAAATACAAATACAGTTTATGGGTGCATTAGTAAGAATAATTCCATGAGGTTTCAGATTGAATGCTCTATTCCATGAGGCGAATTTGAGTGGAATGGAACATTCAATCAGTCATAGTGAGATGGACGTACCGTACATGTACTGTATTTTGTGTGTTGGCACAAGGCAATTTAATTCACCATTCAAATTCAACACAGCGCCATTGTTATGAACTGCAAAATGGTCACATATTCTTTGATATCAACTTAACTCTCCATGGCAACAAAAGAACCCATTTCCAAACGCAGCACAGGTGAAAAGAATTTACAGTGACACTGAACAGCAGCTAGAGCCATCTGCAAGAGTGCATTTACATAAACTCTCTCTCAACCAGCCTGAAGGAAAAAAAGGAGGATCATCCAGTCAATGCTGGTGAGCAGAAAGTGCAATAAATCAACTCGCAGTGGTGACTCTTCAACATTCACTGCATTTACACGCCTGTGACTAGTCTTGGTTGGCCTGGGGAATCAAAAATCCATGGAAGTGGAGGAATTTTACGACATCCCAGGCAGTCAAAGTGTAGTCTCATCAGTCACGCTGCTGGTCATAAACCTCTCATAATTCGCAGCACTAGCAGACAAAGTTCTGCCGAGAAAGGCAAAGTACCTAGACCAGACACAAGGGGTGCTTTGTTTAGACCAACAAGTCAGTATCACACAGTTTTCCTGTTTGTTTTTTTTTTAATTTGACATTAAACTAAACAATCCATGCCCCAAATACAACCCAGTCATTGAACATCTTTCACCTTTGCTCAATGAGCTTATCAGCTGAAAATACAAGCATTCGACACAAAGGATATATCCTGGACTCAACACCTTGTGTGTACAAAGTCATCATTTCTCTGTGTATGTGTCATAGTGCATCATACACAATGTACATGTACGTGTAATATTTTAGAGTCCTGTTGGAAATAGAAGTAGCGGTTGGAAAGTTACACCCTACCATTATTGTCTTTGCTAATTTCACGCTGAAATTGATATTCAACAAGAGGGTCTGGCTGAGAGCTGATTGGAATTGTATAGGCCCGGTTGCAGGGTGAATATTTTGCTGGTAATGGATGACCAGCCTCAGACTGTGACTTCCTTTCACTGAGGGGTTGAGAACCGCTTGGGGTCAAGGTCAGGGGTTGTCTGTTTTCATAACACTAAAACTGTGAACCAGGAAAAAGGGCCACAGGGAACTGCCCATTCCCCGGGGTATTATGTTATCCCTGAAAAATCCACTTGTGTATATGGTGCCTATGGGACAAATTGGCAGACAGTGAAGAGCTGGTGTGCTGACAGTTAACAAATGCATGCAATCAATTGGGATGGAGAATGGGAGATGTTATGATTTCGTCACATCAAAGCAAGGGGGGAGTAGTCGCCCACACTTGCGATGGGCCAACATTGATCGCTTGATAGAACAACCATGTCGGTGTTACACTGCAGTAGTGCATGGTTAAGTACATGTGTGGTGAATTTTGCAAATCCTGGGCAGGGAAGACAAAGGCTTTTCAGTTGGGGGAAGCTTGAAATGCAGTTTTGATTCACCGGTTGATAAGCTTTTACCAGGAAGGCAAATGCCATCATACATGTTTGTTACAGAACATTTGATCAATGCCTCATGCTATGTAGTTGGTGATTCAGGCAATTTTATGACCTTTTTTTAATGTTAACATTCATTTTACAAATGGTCCTTGACACAGCTCACATATCGTACCAACAACAGGGCAGCATTTACAAACCCCACCCAGGGGCACCAGTATATGCTGCGCCTGGGGCCTATGAAACATTGGGGGATTATAGAATACTGGAAGGCCTACTAAAATAATGCAAATTGTCCTAGAAACAGTTTTGACTTATCATTAATCATTTTGTACTGCATTTTCAAGTTTGGTAAAGCTCAGTTCGTATGAGATGAGCACATGTAGCTTCACATAGCTTAGCATCAACATGAAATGAGAGTCTCCATTGCTTACCCGCGCAGTGAACTTGGCACTGGTGCCAAGGGTTGAGCAGGACATACAAAACACTTAAAACGACCCTGATTCCACCACCAACCATTAAACATACAAAGATCCCAGGACCTACCTCCAATACTGGTCCTGCGCCCAACAGAGTCTGTTCCACCCCACTGGCGTGGCCTTTCCGACTCAGTGCTGTCAGGTGGTGGATCAGCAAGTTGGTGCTCTCCGTTTTCCCCGACCCGCTCTCTCCCGAGATGACGATGCACTGGTTGCGCTTGTCCTCCAGCATGGTGTGGAAGGCCGAGTCGGCAATGGCAAAGATGTGAGGGGGAAGCTCCCCGAGACTGTGGTTCTGGTAGAGGTTGACATACTTGGGATTGTAGATGGGGAAGAACTTGAACGGGTTGACAGCGATGAGGATGGATCCCACATAGGTGTAAATCTTCCCCTGGCGGAAGCGAGTGGCCAAGTTCCCCAGGAGCGTCTTCTCGTTGAGGTCGGGGAGATTGCACAGGTCGTGGTACTCTTTCTCTGCTGAGGGATGCGGGAAGAAGTTGCTAACGAAGGAGTCTATGGTGCAGTAGTCGGCCGGGTTGGACACCCGGTTAGACAGCGTGTCATGCATGCTGCGCAGGAAGAAGCGGTAGTTAGTGTAGAAGTACGGGGTCTCTGACTCGTCGTCTGACAGGACTTTGGGCCAGAGCAGCTGCAGCTTGACAGGGTACTCCTCTAGGTCCAACTGTCGCTCCTTGCAGCTCTGGCCAGACTCCTCGCAGACCTCAGCAAGGTTGTAGCGCTCCTGGCCGCCGAGGTTGAGTTTGGCCAGCACCGTGCGCAGGACCTCAGCAGTGGTGGTCTGCTTGGTGGCCTCGATGGACACCCAGCCGCGCTCGGGGACAACAGAGCCGAGATGCACGCGCACCCTGTACACTGTGTTGTCTATGTCGCAGTCCTGACTCATTTTAGCAGGCAGCTAAATGCACCTGTGGGCGTGTGGAAATGAAGACAAAAATTGCCCAATACATCAAAAATGATAATGACGCGTCAGATGATTGATCTGTCTGGGGGATAGTCTTATGGTCTCAATACTAAAAACACGATGTGAAGAAATTTAGATCATGCCACCATTTACATATTCCCTGTGATATGATCTTTTCCAAGAGATCCAAGGATCTTTTCCAAGGTACATGTTTACTCTAAGTAAAATGATTGTAATGCCTTTTTAGAACTTTTTCTGTAAAATTTGTTCACATGTGCATGGGTACATGTACTGGTATAGCAATTTCAGAAGTAAAATGCAAGTTTTACGTCATCAAGGACATTTTGTCTGATGAATTTTGGGTACTGACTGATTGATGAAGCAAAAACTCCCTCTCCTTCCACAGTAAAAAAAAAAAAATCAGTCTTACCCGGTCTCTTCAAAAACCCAATTAGCAATTACATGTTTTGACTGAACAGGTGGAATTCACGTAAACAAGGGGATCTACATGTACCAAACCCACAAAACAGGGCAAATGAACTACATTCAAAACACATATATGCACATCACTAATATTATGTATGCACACGACCTTGATAGATGTCATTTAGGTGCTAATGCAAGCTTGATTTCTGTGTCACCCCCTTTGTTCTGTTTTCTCTTTTTCACAATTTGGTCCAGACTTCTGACTTGCATTTGTAATTTATAGTACAAGTTGATACATAAACTGAGCACAATTGGACCATTAACCACCATCCAACAGACCCACTCATGCATATTAAGTGCATTAACCACTATCCCCCTTTATGCTGGATCGCTCAGGCATGTGAGCACATCAGCAGACTGTCCTGAATAACAACCCCATTATGAGGCATGATGCATGAATACTGTAGATACATGTGAGGATGAGGGAGACAGTGATAGCCAGACATGGGATGATTAAGGTGGCTATGAAGGGACATTATTCCATTCTTGACCAAAGCTACCGGTATTTAGAGAGTGGAGCGGCCATCTGGGACTCACACTTTTAACGTGAAGGAAGTGCGTGTTTCCAAGAAAGGGAGGTGGTGTGAACAAACACTTTAGAGGGGATTTTTTATCATTCTGGAAGAATTTCACTTGTGAACTCAAGTATCCTTACTGGAAAACTAATCAACGCTATTTCAACTCTGTTAACACATTTAACAGTTCACCTGCTTGTAACAACTGGCCAGCAAATTCTAAATACAATTTACAAGGTCCCTGCTTTTTGTAATATATGGTTAAAAATTATTAACTTGCAGTTAAAAAGAACTATCAAGTGAGCTACTGGGGTACAATGTACACACATACAAATACCAGTAATGCACAATATACATGTAATTGTAGTGGGTACAAGTCCAGCAGTCTCCCAGTTGGAAAACTTTCACTATAACCTCATCTTCATCACCGAGCAACTTCCTTGACCAATTTTGGTAAATGACTGCACATCAGAATTAATGCATAAATTCTGAAGCACCAAAATATGTTACTGATTGTGTGCCCATGGCCGGCCACACCTGCCACTACTTATTCCCGGTCCACAAAACGCTACTGCCTCTGGTGTACGTATACACGCATTTACTGTGAGGTCGCTCACGTCAGGACAAATGTGCAGCACATGTGTATTCATGTACATCATGCCAATAATCCACACATTTTTCTGAACAGATTGGAAAATAAATATATCACAAGACTTTACAAATGACTGTAGAATGGACTGCCAAAAATGCTATAACTGGCTCAGTGACTGTTAACATCAGCAACAAAGCACAACTGCTAATTTCAAACAATTTCCCAAACTGTTAATGATGTACTGGTAAGGTACATCACTTCTAACTTGGGATTTTGGGAATATGCGTATTTGGAGAAAAGTTCAGCTCTTAGCCTTTTCATGGAGCCTAATCAATGGTTACAAATTCATACATCGGTATGATGCTACATGTATGTACTGTACCTCTTCATAGGTAAATAAATGGAATGGAATATATTATAACATAAATTGCATCATTTTAAAGAGTTGTTTAGAAGAGTCATGGTATTTTTTGACAACGAGCGTCAACAAGTTATTCAAGCATATTTATGCAAAGACTTTTTATTTACAAAGTTAATTAGGATCCTACATGTACATATCAAATTCAAATATTATATCAATCTGAAATGATATTTGAGTGTTGAAATTTGAGTGACAAAGTCGGGCCTGTTTGCGCAGCCTGACCGAGAATCCTGCGAGAATCTGGAAGCAAATTCAGTGCTTCTCTTACACAGTAGCAGGTGTTACAGTCTCTAAATATGATAAAACCACTTTCAAATCTCTGGAAGGTATTTTCATGTTGTTGACACTTTGTTGACGCTACATGTGTATTGATGCTTGTTGGTGCTAAATAGCATGACCGGTTTAAAATCTGCCTAGATCCATTCAAATTCTACACTTTGTAGAGAATGAAGTGGCAATTTCTTTGCATATCAATGTACATGTACTTTCACAAGGTCCATGCACTAAGTGAATAGGGTTCTTCTTTTCCCATACAATTATCTGAAAAATCCTACTGGATTTTGAAGGATACATGCTGACATGAGAGTTAGGATTTAACAGCACTCCCCAGCAGTGGAAAAGTTTCAAGTTGTAACTCTGAGGTTGTTCTGGATTAATCTAGAGTGACAAATTTGCTCTCCATAAATCAAGTTACTTCAATGATTTTACTGTACTACACCACTGTGCATGTGTCAATAAAAAAAAAAACAATTTTACTGAAAACAAAAGCATTATAAAGTTTATGTTGACATGCGAAACAGAACAAAAAAATAAAATAATAAACCTTCAGCACTGATCTTTCAGTTTTAAACTAGCACTGGGCTACTGAAGTGCTGAAACTTGAAAGTTAAATATACATGTATGTGATAAATCCTTGTAAGCTGGTGCGTTCTAGTTCTGGGCCTAATATATTTCCAAGTTGATTAGGACATGACCAACATTTACACCAAGCACGACAATCTTCATCCAAAGTTGAGTTTAATGGCCAATTCTGTCATATCATAGCAACACAGGGTGACAACTAAGTGTTCGTGCTACACTCGTCGTTACATACAAAATCACTGATCTACTTATATAATGTTACTACCATGAGCAAATAAATTCCTACCAGATAACGATTTTGTACGACGCCGGGACACAATAACAAGCAAAATCTGAGGTCACAAAAAATCTCACCGTACTACCAGGCCAACTTGGCTCGTCAATCGTAGAGAAACCATTCGTTTCATTCATTATCCAGCCAGGTCCTTCCCCTGCTTCAGCAATGCCACAAGGCTGAAGTACCTCTCAAGCATTGATGTTACAATAGGAGAACAGCTGACATGCTGGTACAACGGGAAAGCGAGTAAACTTTAAATCACACTCCTTAGTCTCAAACGAGTCAAAATTATTTTGTCCGGAAGTGTACTATGTACGGAAACATCCAATAGAGTTATATTATGGCCGGCCCACAATGTGGGAGTTTTCATTGGTTCCGCACGAACAAACTACCGAACAAACTACCAGTGAAATGTTCACCAAAGCGACTTTTTTACGGTCATTTCAATCGCGCCCCCTAGTGGCAAAGAGAGAGAGACAGCTAGGCGGCGTTGGGGACGCGTGACGAGGCCTCGAGGCGAGGGAAGGCGGGGAATGCGTGCGACTATTCCCAGCCTTCTCAGGCTAATGAAACAAAAGGACAACTGGGAAGTATTATCATTATCATAAGGGTTGCAATATTTTACTATCAACTTTTACCATTTGCCCGTTGCATTCTATCACTGCTCTCCCTTGGCTACACTCCTGGAAACTTGGTCACAGCGGCTCTTACTTCAAGCTACCTCCATGCTTCAAGTGATAATGCGCTGGCTATCGAGAAGCATCCTGGCTTGGAAAAATGACAAATTTGGGACGCTTACTTTTTGAGTCATTTATCTTTATTTCAACATTTATACTTATTTCAATAAATCAACGTGTTAAGCCTTTCTAAGAGCATTATTGTCCTGATTATAAACCTTTCATAGTTCCTACATGGAATCAACTCTGTACTGATAATCTACTTTATTCCCATTTTTTGTGAACGGCATGAAACTATACCAATTATATAACCGATTTGGAAGCTTATACAATTTTGATTTTGACAGAAAGGTAAACATGGCACAATCCTAGTCCCTTCAAGTTCAATAAAGGGAAACTTAGTTGAATTTGGCATACATGTTTGTCTGGTTTGACTTGTTCACACTTCCCTCGATAGTGTCCCGTGAATGGACTTGTCTAGGAATTTGACCAATGAAACAACAGATGCAAAGTTAGACATCAACTTGTGAGGTGTCACAAACAAGTACATCTGCAGGATTCTTTTATAGAGCATTACAATAAATAATCCTGCCACGTTTGGAGAAAGGATGTATAGAGACCGATGAAAAATATTATCACAATCAAGAGAACACAAATCCCCGTTATCACTAATGTAAACCAATACATCTGGACAAACATCTAATTCTTCTAATTCTAATTTATCTAATTCTTTTTCAGTTGAACAGATTAAATAAAATTGCAATTTACTGTTAGACTTGAGTGAAATAACATTAGCAATTTCATTTCAAATTAGTTGTAGAATTACTATAATTCGTAACCAAAAGCAACTGTTAAAAACATGAAAGACAAATATCAGGCATGTATTTGCATTATACTATTTTTTTAATGAAAGACTATTTTTTTATCTATTTTTATATCTATTTATTATTTCCTTGGTTTAGTATAATGCAAAACTTGGTAATCACTAATCAAGTTCTCTGCTTTGACTTGATAGTTGTTTAAAACTTCCAGGATGAAAAATAGGGAATTCCTTTCCAATTTTCAGAAACATTTAAGTGATCATTTTGGGAACTGAGATACCATCGTTTACAGAAATGTACATCCATTTTATCAAAGTTTAACCTGATCTGCTCAAATGAAAAGCTTCAATAATAAAAATGACAAAATAGATTTTTGGGCTTTAGTGTCTAGATTAAAAAGATCCCTTTTAGTGAAAGGACCTTGATTTTGAGATAAGTTTGACTTTTTGAAGTTCTTTTCCCAAAGGCATTGAAAAGTATTCACAAATACTACATTCTTAACTTACCAATCTTTTCATACTATATATTATTCTTGTATAAAAATAGGAAATTATACATCATGTAAGGAAAATAGTACCATAATAAATGCTCAGTTTTGAAATATGAATCCAACTAAGTAGTGACATCTGAACACTTCAGCTCAGAAACATTTGACAATTCACCCAAAATCAGAAATCCCACAGTATTTCAATGGCATTTTTATTTTTTTTTTAATTTAACAAGAATTAGGATTCCAAAGCCTACACAAGGTCAGGGTTCATTAACCTTCTGGTCTCTAAGGCACCAATTAACAGTAATGCAACTACAATATGACTTTAAATATATAAAACCGAAATTCAAAATCGCATTCTGCATCAAAACCCAACAAAAAAATAATGAAAAAAAGGACAAAGTTTGGGGTGACTGAGGTTAACATATCTGAGATTTGCATCATTTTCTCCAAGATCACATGATGTAATGCAACAAAACAAGAAAGACAAAAATCCTTACAGGTTAGAGCTTTTTCTTTTCACGTGTTTAGAACTGCACACATTTCCAATGTGACCAAGCAAGTAATACATGACAAAGCTTTTGTCCACATCCCTCTGGACACGGTGACGGGTAAAAAATTACTGACTGCAATACTGGGCAAACCCAGGGCACAGGGTACATGTAATCTCAACAGCCAATAGCAATCCAATGTTCGTCTTCCAGTATAAACCCAGGTAATGGACTCTCAAGAACTTGGCTCAAGAGCACAGCACGTTGAAATCTCGGTTTGAAACCTGACACCCTGCAATCACATGTCATGAATTTCATCTGTTAGGAAACACTTCCATAAATCAGGCTGAGACATTTCTTGAAAGACCCAAACGCCATAAATAAAAACACTCACAGCAGAGGTAATAATACAGAGATTTCATCCTTAAAGGAACATTTCATAAATATATTATCAACTCTGAATGCCTTTCTTTATGTCGATAGTATGAGTTACCTGAATTGTCCTGCTTAGGTTAGGGAGAGAAAAACCTGCGTATTATACGTTTTAATAAACCCTTTGTAATGAGATCAGATGGAGCATTACACAACTATTGTGGGAGCACTTGATAGCAAAATCACAGGTACATGAAGAGCTGCACCTCTTTCCTGTCCATCCTGAAGGCCAGGTCCTGTAATCGACCCAGCCTCACTCCAGTGACATTTCCTGCATTGAAGACTCGGTAAAGGTGGAATGCCGGACCCTTCTCCTGTGCAAAGGCCACCTCCTTGGGTGAGATCTCCACCAGCTGTTTCTGGTCCTTGATGGTGGATTTCACCTCCACGTAGGTGCTGCTGGAGCCGCGGGTGATGACGATGTCGTAGGGCTCTCCGGTCTCAAGCTGCTGGTTGACCCACTGGACCTTAACTTCTACTTCTGCCTTCCGAGCCTCTTGAAGCAAGTAAAGATACACCAGCTGCTCCCCCCAGCGCGCAATGTCCGTCGTATCCAGGTTCTCTCTTGAGGGGAGGCTGATGCCCTCTAGGCTCTGCAGAAGGGTGGGGCTAGGAACTAAGTCCTCGAATTCCACGTCAATGGCCTCGCCCTCTGTTGAAGGTGGGAGGAAGAATTTCTTGGTGCTTCCCGAGGAGGGAGGGGCCAGGAAAGCTGTGCGCTGCACTTGGGGCGGTGTGCGGAACTGTTCGTCAACAGTCTCCATTGCCTGGACACCTCCCTCAGTGGCGTCTTCAAAATCAATGTCCTCTCTGTCACCTTCATCTCCCGGGACCAATGCGCTCTCCTCTGAATCCTCCTCTGTCATGCCAACCTCCCCCAACTCTTCAACTCTCCCCCCTGTTTCTGAGCGATCATCTAATGCTCTTTTGGTGACGGGGACCCCTTGCTGTGCCTGGGTGGGCCAGAGTTGAGAAGGACCTCCCGGAGATGGTTCTTGAGAGCAAAGTGGAGTCTCATCTTCTTGGCCTCCACCTGAATGAAACAGTAAGCCTCACTGTCAAACCCATGAATTTTGAATGAAACAGTAAGTCTCACTGTCAAACCCATGAATTTTGAATGAAACAGTAAGCCTCACTGTCAAACCATGAATATTGATATTGACTTGTCTCTTGTGCAAGGAGCACAGATTTATAATGTAGTGATGATGTCAAAGATCCAGAAAGCATCCCTTACCTGACAGACTGCAAAAGGATATTATTTCTTTTGGAAATTCAAATAAAATCAAAGATCAAGCACACTGGTAATTCATAATTTCACTTTTTATGAAATTCAGTTATGTTTAAAACAATCTATTATGTAACCATTAAAGGGTTACAGACATAGAAAACATTTAGTTCACGTGAAGTATTTAAAATAACAATAAACAAGTGACCATTTCAAAAACATTATAAATTTAATGTTTACCCCATTAATCATGACCCAAAAATTAATTAAAAGATCCTGCATTTCCCCGCCCACAAAAATTCCCCTTTTGGCAGTTCATGCTCCCAGGCGGATTGGATGACATCATTGCCAGAATGCTGACATGTACAGTGCACATGTACATTACGCACAGTACATGCAGTATCCCACGCGACAATAGACCACACTTTGTTTGATGTAGCTGCGCCCACAGTCAAACTCTGTCTCAGTTCAAGGTAGAAATTAAAAGACACCATGTATTTCTTATAATCTTACAATACATATTTATAGTTTTTTTTAAATACTTCACATGAACTAAATGTTTTCCATTTTTGCAACCCTTTAAATAAAGATTGCTACTGATGTCAAAAGCGTTAAGTTGAAGTCTTCCATCGCACAAGGCAAACTGAAAACAAAAGTCGTTGGAAGCATTCAGTAGAAGCCTGTTTTGATGACGTCTCACTACAGCTTTGCAATTAAATGATTGTTTCATTATTTTGGGGTAAATGCACACGTGTGCATGAGCACTGTACTTGCTCGCACTTAACTGTGAATTAAAAGAGGTCAGACGGTGAGAGTGACTTGGAATTGCTTTTTTATCGACAATGTTGATCAACACTGGATGGCATGATAAAGGTGAACCATCCCAAAGAGTAAGGCCCTGATGAATTTCAGGCAGATGGCCGCAGTCATTTACCGAGACTGACATCTAAATTACTTGACCCATTTTTTCTCTGTTCTTATGCTATAAAACCATTATGGCCACAAGGTAAAAAAACCTCCGGGGGAACGAGCTGTACAGAGCTCTGAACATTCTTGCGGTGGAAAAAAGACGATTTTTATAAATGTCAGGAGAACCTGCCACATTATTTAGTTGGGTACTAAAGACTGATTCCCTGTTGAATGACCTTTTCCCATAAAAGCAATGTGATTGATCTTTAAGACTTGTGAAGGATTCAAATGGAAAGGTAACAAGATTTCCTTCCCCTGAAATAACATTTCGATAAAACAGTGCCTTTTAGTCAAGCAAAATTCACAAGAGTGAAACCTGTACCTCCAATCTACAGAATAATGAATGAGCAGTGAACTTTAAGACAGAAAAACTCAAGTGCTCTCTGTCATTTTTGTCGTTCACTTTTTGAATTTCCAGAATTTACCCATTGAAACGACAGCTATGTTTTCAAGCATTAAACCTCTTTCTAGGTGGTAAGCAAAATGGAGCCAAACCTTTATTTCAATAAGGGCAGCTTGAGTTGGGAATGTCGTAATCTACACAAAAGGTCAAAACAATTTTGAAATGCAGAGAGAACGAGACAAAGCAACAAGACAGACTGCCCTACCTTGTCCGACACCAGCTACCTGCCCTGGATTGGATGGAGCTACAACGATGCCGTCTTGACTCCTCTGAGAGTGTGGCATAACTGGGGTGCCTGTAGCGCCCTCTTGCACTGCGCTGTTACCAGATTGTGGCAGCTTGTCAATGGCCTGCGCAGGGCCCACAGGTGGGGGCGGGAAGGAGGAGGCCTGGGAACTGAACAGTGGCTGGGGCAGAGGCCACATCTTGAGGAAAGCATCTTCACTTTTGGTCTGACCGCCAACTTGGGGGAAAAAAAATTGAGTAAACAATGTTCATAAAGAGATAATAAGGGGAGAATTCCTTTTTTAACCGGCGGTAACCCGAGGTTGACCCCGCAGTACCTCGGGGTTTTCGTAGTGCCGCCAGGGGTTCTCTATAATGAGCTCATTATCTTTAGATCAATGCACACCAACCTCTGTGGTCGTCACAACCTGGATCGCTCATCTGACTACAAACACACACAACAGAAATGCTTGATTGCACCCTAATCTCCTGTTAATCCGCTGTATCCACAGTGACTTCGAAGGCTAATAAATTGAAAGAAACGTTTGGGGGAGGAACACTCGAAATGGGTACAGGGCTACAGTGTAACCTGTACGTCCTGGAACAATTACTGCATAGCCTAAGCCGCTGGCCGTATCGGCCAGCCATGCGGTTTGTCTTACGTTGGTTGCCGTGAACATTCACTCTTCTGATGTGTTTGAAATAAAGGAAACCAGTCCAGAGGGACTTAATAGATTTGTAAATGTAACATAAGTACCATTCACACTTCACAAATTGTGTGGTGCATCTGTTCGTTGTTTTGTCTTTTACGGTTGTGTAATCCATGCTGTTTATTATTTCACTGGTCATTTAGTGACAGTTGAAAAAAGAACAAAACGAACATTGAGCACTTCACATTTTAGCCACTAACTTTAGTGGATTTAGATTTCAAGACAGCAGAAAGGTAAACACAAAAAATTTACGCGATGTGATCCAAGGTTTATGTGCACATAACATTTTCAAGTACCCCCTAGCATCAAGCGTAAAGGTGACATGAGATATGAGTAGCCTGAGGACTTCCAATTATATCACAATGGGACAAGGGCACTTGTCTTAATCACGTTTACAAAAGCTGGGGAAAAGAGATGAAAACTAGCAATGATGTAAACTTCTATTGGAACACAGTAATTTGTGGCACTGAAATGTGGGCTAATAGTACTGGAATCTGATATCAAAGGAAAGGTCAAATTGAGGGTGATGACCTTTTCAAAGGTATAAACTGAATCATCCTGAATCTTTTTTTTCAAAACAGACACAATTACTAAATCATACCCATGTCTATACTCAATCTAAGACTTCTTTCTCTGATATTTTTAATATGAAAGGTATTTAGGATTTAACAAAATTTACGTGAATGTGACATGTCTGGTAGAAAAACTATAAAATTGTTTGATACTGAATTTTATCTTCAATCAAGAAAATTAATCTCCGAGTACTCGGTGCTGTCTGAAAGCTTAATCAAGAGAAAAGTCAAAGCTTGCTGGAGTGGGATTTGAACCCATGATCACTTATTTACTGGCACAGGTATCTTAACCACTCCACCTTTAAGCTTCCTGGGGTTGGCTCACTTGTTTAAAATGGTCAGCTGACTCCAGGGAAGCTGATCGGTCAAGTGCCTATGACATTCAAACTAGTAGGCAGGCAGTTGTAAGTTCAAATTCCATCCAAACTGGCTCGGGGCTGACCCACCTGGGATAAAAACTATGGAACTACGAAATGATTTGCAATGGCTCCATTATAATCCTCAAGTGCTATCCACCAATCAGAGTACTGGGTCCTTACCTCTTGTTACTTTCTGCGGGCCGTAGATTCCAGACTGAGGTGGCCAGCAATGAATTGCAGCCTCATCATCCCCCTCCAGCAGGGTACCAGCCGACAGCAGTGGCTTTGGCTCAGGGGCTGGCTTGACTTTCAAGGGTTTTGCCACTGCAAAGTTATAAGTAACACATGAAGCAAATCTTCCCTTAGTAATCAAGCAAGGTGAAAAATTTGCCATTGACTGACATAGCTCTGTATCCTTGAATAAACCATACATCTTAATCTTATTTTTTTCCCCCATAAAAGTCATTATTCCAAATTTTCACCCAAATCACTATATGCTGAGAGATCAAAATTGAACAACACAAAACCTGTTCTGGAATGAATGGCAGTACTGCAAAAAAAAAAAACTTATGTTCATCCATCACAAATGAGGGGTTAAATGATGTATACATGCATGTGTTAATCTGAGGCAATTTTGAAATCTCAATTTAAATTAAATAGAAAGTTTTGTGGTCTTCTGAGAAAGCAGCATGTCACTGACCAACTTCTTCTGGAATGAATGGCTTGGGCACTTCCCACAGTTCGTCATCACCCTCTTGAGGGAAGGTTAGTCCCAAGGCTCGACAGATGTTCTCATCAACTCCTTTTTCTGCAGATCCTTCCCGCTTGGAGCCCATCTCCAGGAGCAAGTTGCCAATGAAGGCAAACAAGGCATCCTGGACTTCTGTATTTCCGCAGCTGAAGAGCTTCGCCACCTCACGCCGGACGCTGCTGTTCTGTCGCAGGCTCTTGGAGATGCCAGTTGCTGTGTAGAGCTCGGTGAGCTCCTGGAGCCCACACTCCACGTTCTGCTCGGCAAACACGCTGGGGTTGTGTTTGAAACGGTAGACCTTTTCAATTCGTTTGGCTGACATGAAGCGCATGACTTTCAACTTGGCAGCGATGTTCACCTCAGATGTCAGTTTCTCATAGGTGGATTGAAATTCCACCTTGGTACTGCGCTGCATGCTCAGGTAGAGCTGGATGTAGGGGCAGACATCATGAAGAAACATCTGTAGTGGGAGGGAGGGCTCTGTCAGCTCAGTGATGAACTCTTCCTTGATGCAGTCTGACAGCATCTCAATGCCACACGCCTCCAGGAACACATCTATGAATTGTTTGTCCACGGACCTGTGTGCTCCTTCGACTATTCCTCCGAAACGATTTCGATCGCCGAAATTCAGCAAATTCACTTCCTTCTTGTCTAAGAAAAGCTTCTGAAGTTCCGTGGAGTGGCTGTCGCAGATAAGTGGCTTCTCCTCCAGGGTCACCCACTTGTTGCCCAGAGTGGGGAAGACTGCCTGCCCCTCCAGGATGCTTTTCACAAACTGGACAGAACTTGAGTTGACTTCCGGTTTTGGCAGCGGATTGGAGTACTGGCCAAATATACTTGAGTTAGCCGACACGCACTTGTGGCCTAGCATGCTGTACAGCACCAAGACTTCCTCCTTAATACGAGAATTGTCTGGAAGTGTAATATCACTAGTGCACTGTACCAAGATCTGTGCGTACTCTTTGATGGTTGGCAGACGATCAATACTTATCGATCTCAGAAAGAAGTGATCCATGCCGGGAGGGTAAAGTGTGCACAGCTCCACACGGTTCGAGGAGTCAATATGCTTCTGTAAAAGATGGGAAGGATCTTCCCAGTAAACCTTCAACTTGTGAACAAAGTGGCCCGGAACTGGGGCCTCGTAATTTGGCGACATGGCTCTCTGGGGTACAAACACAACTCTGTGGTCACTGAACAACTCTCTGAGTTCCTGGGGATGGCAGTTCTGCTCCAAGTACCTGTACACCCGACTGATGTGACCCAAAGAGGTACAGAAGGAGGTCCTAGCCGTGAGATCCGGAGACTGCCCCTCATCGTTACACCAAGCTTTCAGCTTGGAAATCATGAAATCTACATTTATCATCCCAACTGATTTCAATCCAATGAACTGCACGAGGCCTCCATCCCCTTGGACAGGGGAAACCAAGTAAGGAACATGATCGCCCAGGAGAGCCCTTGCTCTGTCTGAATGGATGAAGATGTCACAAGGCCTTCGAAATATCATCGGACCTTCATTCTCCCCATCAACCAGAGGTGAAGGTAGCCCAGCAACCGGAGTTGAAGGTAGCCAAGCATTTGTCTTCAGGTGGACTGCAAAGCTGGACTCCGTACTGGCTAGTCTTGTCCCTGACTGGTCAAACACTTCAGCCCCTATATAAGCACAATAGTTGCTGCTCCATTCCTGTTGCAGAAGCCCAAGAAGGCTCTTTCGCTGGCTTTGTATGGTAGACATTTCAAGCTTGGCTTGCACTAACTCTTCAAATTCCCTGCAGACACTGTCATGGATTTTGTAGACTCCATCTGCTGGTTTCTCCCAGAATTTACCGAGGTCTGCCCAAGGCGTCACATCCTAAAAAAACATGAATTGTATATTCATTGTGTATTCGTTCAGCCTTCCAAATTCTTGAGTAAAAGTGGCAAAAATAAACTTGCAGTATTTCTTTGAGAGGAAATTGGATAGAAACATAATTCCACAGTCCAGCTGTAGAAAATGTCCCCTACCCCCACAAAAATTGTCAATGAGAAAATACTAACCAGTTCCTCCACCTTCACAGTCACAATTTCTTTCTCAACAGCTAGGTAGTTCAGTACTCCTAGCTTCCTGAAGAAAGCATTCCAAGACTTGATCTCATTGGCAGAGAGTTGGTGAGGCCCATTGTGGAAGATGTAGCAACTATCCAACAAGACCCAATCACAGCCTGTTGATTCAAGAAAGACAAAGTTGATTTCAGTCATTCCTTCTGTTGATGTTTATCGACTGCTGTGATGTGAAACTAATGTGTGAGGCGAACTCAACAATGCTCAGCATCAAGGAGTAAAATACACAATCCCACAACACAACAGTCAACAAGTGTTTTTTGGCTTTTTGTACACCAAGTTGGTATGAAAAATTCAGAGCACTTTCATTTTAATAAAATAGCTATCTAATACAACAAATTGGCCGAGTAGGTGCATCCATATCGGCAATACTTTTGTGCACATTCCGTTAAAAACAAGTTGCACAAATTTTGCACCATTCCCACGCATTTGACAATGCATGCATGTATTGTACTCTTCATTTGCACTCATCTGCAATACATGCAATATTATTTGTTTGACAGATGTTTATTTAATCATGTTGTTCATACCATGGTTACAGAGTAGAAGATGTATTAAATTTTACAATAGTTTGCCTTAGAATGTACAATGTCAAGCAAAAAGGTAAAACACACGTTAAAGAACAACATTTAGGTAAAGGGTGAAGCATAAATTTGCCTTTGTACCCCAACCTATTGACAGACATACATATTATAACATAGGACAATACAAGACATGAAAATGTTTTTGACAGTGACACACACGGACAAACACTGACAGGCAGGAGATAATACAATGCATCAAAATCCAATTCTAGTCGGTACAGGTGATGTATTCAGAAAGAATTAGATTTTTCAACTTTAGAGCAAATGTTAATTATGTACAGTTCCCAGGGAGAGTCTGTCATTATTCCATGGAAAACCAAAAAGGATTACGTGCATACCTGGCAGTGTCTGATTCAGGTCGACAGGGTTGCCGTACGTCACGGTGAAGTGTACCGGTCTTCTCCTGGCATTGAGCAGCCCATGGTTTGTCAAAACGTGCACACATTCAGCTATCTTATCCAGGTCACAGACGTCTGGCTGCTGTTCCAATTGCTCTTTGATGTACACCACGTAGCCAACCATGACCTCTCGGGATTTGTTCTACACAACAGTAGCAGAAAGAAAACTGATACTGTCCTCATTCATTGGCAACTTTACTCCCAATTATCAGCTCTCGTATAACTTTCCATTCTTTCAGAGTCAAAGAGATCATGTACCATTTATTAATTCAATTTTGTTTACAGCTATATGCAGAGCCATGCAGTGATGGCATTACCTTCCACTGGTCTGATTGGATGACCGGTAGTATATGGTGACGAATCACGTCCTTTGGGCTAACACGACAGACTCCGAGCTCCTCCAGCAGCTGCAGCACCTGGGAATTGGCGACGTTGTCCAGGCTGGTCAGGACGCGGCCATTCAGAGTGGACATGTCCTGCTCCAAAGCCCGCAGGGGCCTGCTGTATGCTGTAGAGAGAAAAATAAAACGAAAACATACAATAGTCCGTTGTACTGGTGTATCCAAATTTGGGATGAGGAAAGGACACAAATGGCGATTTTTTTCACAAAAAAAACCAAAAAACCCGCCCAATTTTGTTTTCATCCATAGCAGAATCATCAATCTTCCTCCCCACAGAAAGATGAAGGTACCATTACCAAAGTGTTGTCACTGTTTATTCTTTAAAACGTCTAATGGGGAGAGACTTTTGCCTCCCCATTTGCCACAGAAGCTATGATAGGATGTAGTGAACACGTAACCACACTGATAATCCTAAGCTCAGTGTAGAACAAGCTAAAAATCTCCTGTGCTAGCTGTTGGATGGATGTACAGACATTACATTTTTCTTCGCATGCTGATACTGACAACTGGAATGCAACAAATCATTGGTCAAATTGATGCCCATTTTTTTTATTTTCAAAAGTTCCCGTTTTTCCACCACAGACTTTTTGCTCTTGAGAATAAACAATTTCTTAGGTGTAAAACTTTCTCGACATCCCCTGATTGGTCAAAGATGATATCACCTGACAGAATCTGGCCCTGTGATTGGTTGACCCTGTCCTCTTCGCTGAGGGGGAAAAACACACTGCCATCCTCCATGGCGACGACACGGCCAGACGCCAGCGGAATGATCGGAATGGACAACAGCTGGTCCAGCACTCCCTCAGATACGTCGTACTTGTCGCGGCTGCGATAGATGCAGGTCAGCCACTGGGCCACGGTTTTAGGAGACAACTGCTCCTCTGTAATGAAGTGGGCACAAGATGAAATGTAAAAGATTCCAAGTTTTTATTAAAATAATTAATGCAGCAAATGCATAAATATCTTTGCCTTTGACAACACAGTATTTCTTTTCCGCCTGCATTATTGCTGGGAACACAGCAATAATGAAATTACAGAAATCCTGTGCAGAAAGCCAATGGCACATTAGTTGGAACTGAACTTCCAAGGGATACCAAGCCCTATGTAACTCTGTGGATTCAACCTTCCAAAATCCTCCAAAACCTCCCAATGGAGTTGGAAGGATCCCAGAGGGTTAGGGCGATTCACTTCCTAACTAGTTTCGACTGAAAGATTGTTCTTGATTTTCTGGTTGATATACCTCATATTGTATACTATTTGTACCAAGTGTTGGTAAAGCACACCCTTGTTTGGTGTCCGTTTTTTACCTCAAAATGTGTACTTGTCCCATTACTTTTAAAGAAGGAAGTATCTTCCTTTAGTTGAAGGTTTCATGGCAATACAAAATATGTTAAACCTTTGTGACTTATTCGTCTGCCTTTGTAATAAGGGTCAGCAACAGTTTACCAGCCACTAGTGACGTAGCAAGAGAGAGGTCTCCTCTACAAGCAACACAGCACTATTCCACTGCCTCCAATCAAATCAAGTTCTCTGTACCTCTCTGTCTAGCTGCCAGCGCAATGCTGCTTAGGATGTTCATCAGCTCGGTAGTCTTCAGTGTCTTGACTCCCAGGCTCTTCAGCAGTGCCTTGCTGACAGAGCCCACCACCTGCGGATGCAGGTAGGAGCAGTTGAGATGTGCTCGCAAGGTGTCGCTGGGGACCACCTCCCGGACGAGACGGTCCGGACACACGATGGTCTCGGATGGAAGCTTCCATGCTACATCATCTGCTGAAGCAAAAACAACCTGTCGTCATAAGTGGACAGAAATATTGCTACATTTAAGGCAGCTTTTATGCCAGTAAAGGCCAGTTCGTACTTGGCATGAAAGCACAATCAAATGCAATTTTGTTACATCAAACATTTGTGCTGTGAATTCACAAACGTTGAACACATTTGAACTCAAGTGAATTTTCCTGCAACTGTTTTGTGACATCAAATTAGCATCTCTGTTAGATTCGCCTGAAGTATGAACCAGCCTTACAACGGCACATTTCAGGAAACACCATCAATTCATCCGGTGTGAAATATGTGGATGATCAACACAGATTGGTGCCAAACAAATCTAGGAATTCTAATCGGTTGCATGGACAGCACGGCAGCTCAACTCATTTGGCTCTCATTTTCAAATATGGATGAATACAACGCATGAAAATCACAATGCTCTCACTGCCGTTATGCTAAATAGTGCCCTCTACGGATTGTGCAAAAATGTCTAGCAGCAAACTTGCCTTCTTGACTGCCAATGAGTACCGGCATGCAGGACGTGGCCTTGAGTCTCTTGTGGATGTTCACGGCCACCTTTCGGAAGAAGTCCGTCAGAATCTGGCTCTCAAGCGGGACAAACTTGAGAAACTGGCAGATGGCATTGACCGGGTCACGACAGTAATGCTCCTAGCAGAAGGAAGAGATGGACAGAATATTTCACTGACCATCAAAAATTTCAATATCTGTTGATCCAGCACTAGTTACATCTGTCACTAACTTTTTGGGGGACAGAAATAAAAAGGTCTGATGCACTCAGATGAAAACCAAAGAAACAGCAAGCAAAATTTGAAAATATGTGGTACTTCTGTATACTACTTTAAACAGATTTCTATAAAGCTACTTCAGTTTTATTTCCTCTGTTCAGCAGCTTGTTAATTTTTCCCATATGTTCCAAGAAAGCACCAAGTTTGCAATGTCTAGTTGATTACTTAATGAGAGGTCAAATCAGTTGTTCAAATCTATCCATCCTAATGTAGCATCTCAAGATCAGTGCAATCACTTATTTACCCTCACAGGTTTTCATTTATACAAACAGGTGGAGAGAGGCAAATTGTAGGGCAAAGTCTTGTGAGAGGAATGAAAGTTTCTTGATCTCCGTTGGGAATCAAACCTGCATATGCTGCCTGTTTTAGGCCGTATCCGAAACGGGCTTCCAGAGCTACGGCTAGGTCTATCATCTACGCATCTCCAAGCATTTCCAATGGAGCGAAGACCTAGACCTAGCTCTAGACAAGAGATTCGGATGCAGCCTTAGACATTGTACTGACTGAACTAAAACATGGTCCAGTGTAGCACAAAATTTGGACTCTGGACTCATTAAATATACTACACGTAAAGTTGTCAGGAGAACAGTGTACTACACACATTTTAGTGAAGAGAACAGTGTACTTCACACAACTTAGTGAGGAGAACAGTCACAAGCAATAAGAACATACTAGGCTATGAGTCCATATTAAGACAAAGGAATTGGATTTCACAGGAGGTTTAAGTTTCATAATGACACTGGGAGATTAGGACTTCAATCACTGAATAGGAGTTATTTGCATTCACAAAACAGGGGAGGTAATATGGAAGCTGACCTTGAAGGTCTCTAGGGTATTGACAAAGACCGGCGCAATCTCCTGGAGAAGCCACTGGTTCCAGGCCGAGTCCTCAAAAACATTTTCTCGGGACGATGGGATTTCAAAGTCGCCTTGTGTTTGAAAACAACAGAGAGGCAGAAACACAAGTAAGACAACATGGCGTTATGATTTACTAAATCACTGTGAGGAGACTGGCTCGTATGGCAATGCCTGTATTGGTTCTGCAGCCCTGCACAACTATGAAAACTACTAAACTACTTACTGGAGGACATGTTGGCATCAGACAGGAACATTTCAATAGACAGTTTACAGTTACACCAAGACATCCCTTTTAAGTTATAAGGATTGCTCTGTGAAAGTGGCAGTTAAATACTCAGTAAGTCAGTTGGCACACTCCAAAATTCATGTAGAGAAGATCGTGACGACGCATATCACAAATGTTCCCCGAGCCGTCCATTTTGGTGCTTTTCAGCCCAAATCTTAGCCCACATGGGCCAGTTTATGGGTGTAACTGAGTAACTCGAGTAGATCACACAACACCCTCACCAGTTTGTTTGAAACTGCTCCTAAATGCCAGGGCTCATCCCATCTATTGTAACAGACAACTGGTGAAACAATATCCAGTCAATTCAATGTGTATTGTTCAAACAGTGTCTCAAGGAAAATACTGCTTTGTAAATTTGTCCCGTCCAATCCCAAACTTACAACAAAATCATTCGCCATCATGTAACTTATTGATCAAATTCTTTCCCAAGAAAATAACAGACTTGCTTGGTTTGTATTTACCTTGAATGATGAAGTGGAAACCGTAGCTCCTCAGCGGCAGGAAAGCAAAGACATTCTGTTCAGTGGACATGCCGTCAGAAAGCGGGAAGGCCAGTCCTAGCTCAGTCGATTCAACGTCCACTCGTTGAAGCTGTGCCATTAAAAATTGGACAAATACATTTTTTTTGATGGTGAAAAAGACGGGATAAACACACATACCTCAGGTGAAAAAGATGGTTTGATTTAGCAGTCTTGTTATATGACCTAACATTAGACTTTTTTTATATTCGATGTAACTCTAAAGTTCATTTTATTGTAACACTTTTACATGGTAATATAGATGATAAAAAATACTGTTCACATTATGCAATTTAGTACTTCGGGATAAAAGCATTTGACGTCATGCCTGCTAGCACACGTTTGGTACGGCAAGTATGACTTGATCTATGGCAACTCTGATGGGGCCAATCTCACGCACGCAGTGACTTTCCTAAATGATCTACAATGCATTTCATTTAATGCATGTTCCCTTGGAATACTACATCGGCAAGTATTCTCTTTCTAAAATGCTGTCCATCACACCGGCACCTTCAATGCCCAATTAAAGAAGTTTCAAATTGCCATGGTGGGGGAGGGAGGAGGGCTATTATTGCACGGAGGGCTGTACCGAACATTGTCCTTGGCTCCCAATAATTTGTGCACAGAACCTACCGAACCCTATTCAGTTGCTGTTTGTAATTCCTGAACGTCAACATGATAAAACAGTCGGTGTTTTTTTTATGTTGGAAAGTGACAAGTGGCCATTATTTCCCCAAGGATTAGAAGGGAAAGCAACTATTGTCAACGGTATTGAATAGACACTGGTTTTGCGACTCCACATGATCAGGTGCGGAAGAAAACCGCACATACGCGCACGGTGGCATTGCCCCAACAATAGTCTAAAGAGGGCACCGCTGATAAACAAAAAACTGAGATTTGCCACGGCATGCATCAGAGAACGCTCCTGAGCGGTAGTTTCATGACTTTTAGGATAAATTTGATATCAATTTTTTGATTCAAGTTTAAATAAAAAACAAAAATAATTAAGAGACACATTTCTAGAAACCTTAAACTTGAATGCAACAGCAAAACATCACGAAAACAACGAACCAAGGTATCACAAGAGGGTGCACTTCAACATGGCAACGAAACGTTCAGCAGTTAAATTCACTATACCGAACGACCGCTGTACCGAACATTTAGCATGGATCCCATCTTGTTCGTTATAGCGGTGTTCCACTGTATAAGCAACTTGGATTCACTTTAATAAATTGGTAGACTGCCGATACGGTATACATGACGTTGGGGC